ACCTCAGCATCCTGAGTAGCTGGGACTGCAGGCACATGCCACCATGCTCAGCTAATTTTTGTATTTTTAGTAGAGATGGGTTTTTACCATGTTGGCCAGGATGGTCTTGATCTCCTTATCTTGTGATCCACCCACCTTGGCCTTCCAAAGTGCTGGGAATTACAGGCATGAGCCACCACGCCTGGCCAGAAGTTTTTTACTTTAATGAAATCCCATCTATTTATCTTTGTTTTTGTTGGATTTGCTTTTGGGTTCTTGGTCATGAAGTCTTTGCCTAAGCCATGTCTAGAAGGGGTTTTTAAATGTTATCTTCCACAATTTTTCTGGTTTCAGGTCTTTGATTTAAGTCTTTGATTCATATTGAGGTGATTTCTGCATAGGGTGCCAGATGAGGATCCAGCTTTATCCTTCTACCTATGGTTTGCCAGTTATCCTAGTACCATTTGTTAAATAGGTTGTCCTTTCCATGCTTTATGTTTTTGTTCGCTTTGTCCAAGATCAGATGACTGTAAGTATTTGGCTTTATTTCTGGATTCTCTGTTCTGTTCCATTGGTCTATATGCCTATTTTTATGCCAGTACCATGCCATTTTGGTGACTATGGCCTTATAGTATAGTTTGAAGTTGGGTACTGTGATGCCTCCACATTAGTTCCTTTTGCTTTGCCTTAAATTGACTATGCAGGCACTTTTGTTATTCCGCATGAATTTTGGGATTTTTTTTCTCATTCTGTGAAGAATGATGGTGTTATTTTGATGGAAATTATATTGAATTTGTAGATTGCTTTTGGTAGTATGGTCAGTTTTCACAATATTGATTCTGCCCATCCATGAGCATGGAATGTATTACCATTTGTTTGTGTCATGTATGATTTCTTTCAGCAGTGTTTTGTAGTTTTCCTTATAGAAGTTTTTCACCTCCTTGGTTAAGTATATTCCTAAGTATTTTATCTTTTGCAGCTATTGTAAAAGAGGTTGGGTTCTTGATTGATCCTCAGCTTGGTAACTATTGGTGTATAGTAAATAACTGATTAGTGTATATTAATATTGTATCCTGAAACTTTGCTGAATTAATTTATCCATTCCAGGAGCTTTTTGGATGAGTCTTTAGGGTTTTCTAGGTATATGATCATATCACTACCAACCAGCAGCAGTTTGAATTCCTCATTACCAATGTGGATGCCCTTTATTTCTTTCTCTTGTCTGATTGCTCTGACTAGGACTTGCAGTACTATGTTGAATAGAAGTGGTGAAAGTGGGCATCCTTGTTTTGTTTCAGGTCTCAGAGGGAATGCTTTCAGCTTTCCCCTGTTCAGTATAATGTTGGCTGTGGGTTTGTCATATATGAGTTTTATTACCTTAAAGTGTGTCCCTTCTATGCCAAATCTGCTGAGGGTTTTAATCATAAAGGATGCTGGATTTTGTCAAATGCCCTTCTGCGTCTATTTAGATGATCATGTGATTTTTATTTTTAATTCTCTTTAAGTGGTGTAACACATTTATTGACTTGTGGGTGTTAAACCATCCCTGCATCCCTGGTGTGAAACCCACTTGATCATGGTGGATTATCTGTTTGTTCTGCTGTTGAGTTCTGTTAGCTATTATTTTGATGAAGATTTTCACATCTATGTTCATCAGAGATATTGGTCTGCAATTTTCTTTTTTTGTTACATTATTTCCCGGTTTTGGTATTAGAGTGATATTGGCTTCATAGAATGATTTGGGAAGGATTCCTTCTTTCTCTATCTTTTGGAATACTGTCAATAGGATTATTGCCAACTCTTATTTGCATATCTGATAGAATTCAGTTGTGAATCTACCTGGTCCTGGCCTTTTTTTGTTGGTAACATTTTAGTTATGATTTCAATCTTGCTTCTTGTTACTGGTTTGTTCACAGTTTCTATTTCTTCCTCGTTAAGCTAGGAAGGTTGTGTATTTCCAGGACTTTATTAATCTCCTCTAGGTTTTCTAGTTTGTGCATGTAAAGGTGTTCATAGTAGCCTTTAATGATTTTTTGTATTTCTGTTGTATCAGGTGTAATAGCTCTCATTGTGTTTCTAATTGAGCTTATTTGGATCTTCTTTCTGCTTTTCCTGATTAATCTCACTATTGGCCTATCATTTTATTTATCCTTTCAAAGACCCAACTTTTTATATCTTTTGTCTTTGTTTTGTTTGTTTGTTTCAATTTCATTTAGTTCTCCTTTAATCTTGGTTATTTCTTTTCTTCTGCTGTGTTCAGGTTTCATTTGTTCTTGCTTCTCTAATTCCTTGAAGTATGACCTTAGGTTGTTTATTTGTGATCTTTCAGACTTTTTAATGTAGACATTTAATGCTGTGAACTTTCCTGTTCGTATTGCTTTTGCTGTATCCCAGAGGTTTTGCAAAATTGTGTCACTGTTATTCAGTTCAAGAATTTTTAAATTTCCATCTTGATTTCATTGTATATCCAACAATCATTCAGCAGCAGATTATTTAGTTTCTATGTATTTGCAGGGTTTTGAGGTTTCCTTTCAGAGTGCATTTCCAATTTTATTCCACTGTAGTCGGGAGAGTTCTTGATATAATTGTGATTTTCTTAAATTTGTTGACACTTGTTTTGTGGCCTATTATATGGTCTATCTTGGAGAATATTCCATGTGCTGATAAATAGAATGTATATTCTGCAGTTGTTGGGTAGAATGTTCTGTAAATATCTGTTAAGTGTATTTTTTCTAGGGTATAGTTTAATTCCGTTTTTCCTTTGTTGACTTTCTGTCTTAATGACCTGCCTAGTGATGTCAATGGAGTATTGCAGTCTCCCACTATTATTGTGTTGCCATCTATCTCATTTCTTAGGTCTAGAAGTAATTGTTTTATAAATTTGATAGCTCCAGTGTTAGGCGCATATATATTTAGGATTGTGATATTTTCCTGATAGACTAGTTCTTTTGTCATTACATAACGTCCCTCTTTGTCTTTTTTAACTTCTGTTGCTTTAAAGTTTTTTTTTGTCTGATATAAGAATAGCTACTCCTGCTTGCTTTTGGTGTCTGTTGGCGTGGAGTATCTTTTCCCACCCCTTTACCTTAAGTTTATGTGAGTCTCTATGTGTCAGATAAGTCTCTTGAAGACAGCAGATACTTGGTTGGTGACTTCGAATTCATTTTGCCATTCTGTATCTTTTAAGTGGACCATTTACACCATTCACATTCAACATCAGTATTGAGATGTGAGGCACTATTTTATTTATTGTGGTTTGTTGCCTGAATACTTTGTTGTTGTTTTTTTCTATTGTGTTATTGTTTTATAGATCCTATGAGATGTATGCTTTAGGAAATTCTATTTTTGTGTATTTCAAGGATTTGTTTCAAGATTTAGAGCTCTTTTTAGCAGTTCTTATAGTGCTGGTTTGGTAGTGGTGAATTCTGTCAGCATTTGTTTATATGAAAATGACCATATCTTTCCTTCATTTATGAAGCTTAGTTTCACTGGATTTAAAATTCTTGTCTGATAATTGTTTTGTTTAAGGAGGCTAAAGATAGGACCCCAATCCCTTCTAGCTTGTAAGGTTTCTGCTGAGAAGTCTGCTGTTAATATGGTAAGTTTTCCTTTATAGGTTACTAATGCTTTTGCTTCACAGCTCTTAAGATTCCTTCCTTCATCTTGACTTTAGGTAACCTGATGACTATGTGCCTAGGTGATGATCTTTTTGGAATGAATTTCCAAGGTGTTCTTTGAGCTTCTTGTATTTGAGTGTCTAGATCTCTGGCAAGTCTGGGAAACTTTTCCTTGATTATTCCCTAAAATATGTTTTCTAAATTTTTAGATTTCTTTTTCCTCAGGAAAGCCAATTATTCTTAGATTTTGTCATTTAACATAATCTCAAACTTCTTGGAGACTTTGTTTATGTTTTAAAATTCTTTTTTGTTGTTGTTGTTGTTGGATTGGGTTAATTCAAAAGCCTTGTCTTTGAACTCTGAAGTTCTTTCTTCTTGTTTGATTCTCTTACTGACTTTACAGTGCATTTTTCATTTCTCTAAATGTGTCCTTAATTTCCAGAAGTTGTGTTTTTTATTTATGCTATCCATTTGACTGGAGATTTTTCCATTCATATATTGTATCATTAAAAAAATTTTTTTTTCAAGTTGTAATCCACTTTTCTCTGATGCCTCCTTGATTGGCTTAACAATTGGCCTTATGAATGCTTTTCCTAGTAATTCAGAGATTTCATCTTGGTTTGGATCCATTGCTTGTGAACTAGTGTGATCTTCTGTGGGTGTTAAGGAACCTTGTTTTTTCACATTACCAGAATTATTTTTCTGCTTCCTTCTCATTAGTATAGACTGTTTCACAGGGACGATCTGGCACTCAAGTGCTGCTTCCCAGATTCTTTTGTCCCACAGGTTTGTTCCCTTGATGTGGTACATTTCCCTTTCCCCTAGGGATGGGGCTTCCTGAGAGCTGAGCTGCAGTTATCGTTATTATTACTCTGGATCTAGTCACCCAGTGGAGATATTGAGCTCCAGGCTGGTATTGGGGAGTGTCTGCAGAGTCCTGTGATATGATCCATCATTAGGTCTCTCAGCCATGGATCCCAGCAGCTACTCTGGTGGAAGTAGCAGTGGAGTAAAGTGGACTTTGTGAGGGTCCTTGGTTGTATTTCTGTTAAGCGTGCTGGATTTGTGTTGATTGGCCAGGAGGTGGTGTTTTCAAGAGTGCATCAGCTGCAGTTGTATAAGAAGGATACAAGCCTGTTCTAGAGTCACCCCTGGATAAGTATTCAGGTTCCTCGGGTGGTAGGCAGGGCCATAGAGCTCCCTAGAGATTATGGCCTTTGTCTTTGGCTTCCAAGGTAGGTAGAGAAAGACCATCAGGTGGAGGCAGTGTTAGGTGTGTCTGAGTTCAGACTCTTTTTGGGTGGGGCTTGCTGCAGCTCCTGTAGGGGATGAGGTGTGGTTCCCAGGCCAAGGGAGTTAAGTTCCCAGGGGTATTATGGCTGTCTCTGCTGCATCGCACAGGTCATCAGGGAAGTGGGGGAAAGCCAGCAGCCACAGGCCTCACCCAGTTCCCACACAGCCTGCATCCTGAAAGGCTGGTCTCACTCCTACTGTGACCCCTCAACAGCACTGAATTTACTTCCAGGCAGTTGGTGAGCAGGGTTGAGAACTTTCCCCAGGCTACAAGCCTCCGAGCTGAGAAAGCAAGCTACTCACAGCTCCTCAGCTGTCCCACAGAGCCTACAGTGGCAATCCACCTCTTTCAAGGTCTGTGACTTTTTTCAGCTTTCCTGGTATGTTCCTGTGGTAATTCTTGAAGCAAAAATTCATGATGTAGGTCTCCACATGCTTCTCTGTCCCTCCAAGTGGCAGCTGCAAGTCAGTCCTTCCTCCTGTTGGCCATTTTTCTGATAACCAATCTTCAAGCCTCTTTTGAGGTTTATTATGTTACACACTTAATGATGATGATGATGATGATTACCCTTATTATTCCATGTTACAGATTAAAAAATTGGGGCTAGGATGGGTTAAATTATTTGAGCAGATTTAGGTAGGATTTTCTCTCCTTCCTTCTTTTTCTTCTGTTTGTCCATTCAGTCTTTCATCACATATTCATTAACTGTACTTTGTCAAACACTCCAGTGTATATGTGCTTTACATTGGACTATGTTGTGTAAGAAGGAAATAACCTTTTATTTCTTAAGCCACTAAAATTTGGTAGTTATTTGTTTTGGAGGTTTTTGGTTTTTATAACAATCTACACCTGATTAATACAAAAGTACTGATCAAGTCTGTCTTTGTGACTTCAAATGTTGAAACAGTTAATATATGAAATTGTTTCCTTCTAGTCTGAATAACATGTTTGAGATGGTGTGGTTATAGTGATGGGACTGTATGACAACTTGTTGCACAACTCACAGTTCTAACGTATTTCCTATGTTATATGTTTACTTGGAGATTAAACCACATGCCCTGTGTATTATTCAAGGTATGTGCCTTCATTTATTTTAATCTGGTACTTCTATTCTATTTGTATTATGTACAGAGCTTTGGTCTCTCAATTCTAATCAGTTTTCTCTTTCTTTCTCTTTGTACTCTCAATTGTTTTAGTGTTTAGTTTAGTAGTTTCTAGTCTAGTAGTCTATTTGGTCTTTCCTGAAATGTTTCTCTAATTTTTATGATTTTTTTTCACAGTTTTATCTTTCTTACCTCTTTAAGACTTTCATTAGGTAAATGTTCAATGATGCACACAATTTTTTATTGAATACAGAAACACTCTGATACTTACATGTTAATAAGGTCTTTAATGCATTGTATTAAGTCAAAAATCAGTGATGCATGTTTAATATTATATGCTTAGCATGTTTCAAAATTAATTTTCACATATTAAGCCAGCACATCCTCAGAAATGCATTTAATTTTTTTAACCTGACATTGTCAATTTTTACAATTTTTTCAGGAGTGTCTTTCATATTATCAGTGGGAACTCGTCTTTTCATAGGTAGAGGCGATCATCTGAAAATTCACAGAACTGAACCTTGGAAAAAGATGAGAATTTGGATTTTAACTGGTTCTTCAATAGCCTGGTAAAATTAATATATGAATAAGAAATAAAAAACAGCAAAAAACTGAAAAACATTGGAAGCTATATTCAATTTCACTTACTTTTATTCTTAATAAAGCAGGAGAATAAAGGAATTATAGATTTTCTGGAAGAATAATTGTCAGAAAGTTTCCAGAGTAAACTCCACTGACTTAGTTCATTTCATGTCGTCATTGAGTAAACTGTCACTCTGTGCTAGGCACTGGCAATACAAAGATCAGTAATCTGTGTTGCTCAAGTATTTATGGATGGAGTCAGTAAGAGGTAGATATGCAAATGGGCAATTACAATACAATTCTTAATTTCCCTAACAGAGCAAGCCTTGTACAAAGAACAAACATTTGACCTTTTTGGGAAAACAGAAACACTTCATACAGGATGGGCCAGTAATGCAAGGACTAATAGGATTTGGTAGAGAGAAAAGGGCATCCAACACTGGTAAGGTAGTATAAACAGCTCTGGGTAAAGACAGGAAAAGCAGTGAGGCTTAGGAAATTCCAAAGGATTCAATGTGCTTGGAGAATACAGTGAGAAGTGGATAGGGTGTTGGGTGGGAAGGGTGAAGGTGGAGATGACAAAAAAAAAAAAAAAAAAAAAGCCTCGTAGGCAATGCTACTGGAATAGGAGTTTATCCTTAGGAAATGGTATGTTGTTGAGTGATTTTACATCAGGGAGTCATAGGGTTAGAGTTATGTTTTAGGAAGATCATATGTCAGTGGTTCGCAGAATGCAAGAAGTTGCCGAGGATGATGGCCAGAGGGTAGCTTAGGAGACTGCTAGCTTAGTCCATGTACAAAATGAGGACGGACTAGGTGAGGGCCATAGGGAAACACAGGAAGGGAGGAAGAGACAAAGTGTTTAGAAGATAGAATTGAGTGGGTTTGGTACCTCATGAGATATCATCAATGAGGAAGGAAAAGTAGAGGAAGTTACTAGGAAATACACACAGTAGTAGAAACCTTTAAAATGGCTATGAAGGTTCCCAATGAGCAGGCTGATTCCTTCATCTATTTAGCAAATAACTAACAAATACTTATCATATTCCAGAAATTCTGGGCACTTAGAGAGTGAATAAACAGTGATTCCTAAGCTTCTAGAACTTCGAGAAAGACAGTATATGATAACGGTGATAGGTAAGAATATTATACAGAATGTTAGAAAAAATGATGTAGAGTAAGATAAAGTTAACTAGGATAAGAGGAATTGGGAGATCTGGGTTGGGGTAAGGTGCAGACTGCGCTGTTTTACAAGACAGTCAGGTAAAAATGATTTGAAGGAGGGAGGGAGACCACAAGGACTTGTCTGAGTGAAGAGCATTCCACATAGAGGGAGCAGGCACTGCAAGGGTTTAAGACTGAGATGTGTTTACCAGGTGGTCAGTGTGGCTTGAGCAGAGTGAGTGAGAAGAATGAGAAGAGTGATGGTAGATTAAGTCAGAGAATTCATAGTAGGGTTGCTGTTCACATCAGGGCTCCATATAGGCTAAGGACTTTGACTTTGAGTCAAATGTGATGTAATTGGGGATTTTAAGTAGAGAGTGATGATAGGCTCTGCCTTATGTTTTAAATGCATCTCTCTGGCTGCTTTGTTGAGAACATAAACTGCAATGGGGCAAATGCTGAAGCAGAAAGACAGGATAGAAGGCTATTTCAGAGTTCCAGAAGGAAGATGGATGGTGGTAGCTTGAATCCACTTGCTGACTGCAGTAAGGGAGAGAAGTGATAGAATTCTGCATATGTTTTGAAGGTAGGGCCAGGAGGATTTGTTGCTGGATTGGTAGAGTTTAAAAGAAAGGGAAGAGTTAAGCATGAGACCAAACTTTTCAGCCTTAGCATCGAGAGGGATGGAGTTAACTTGTACTGAAAAGGAGCAGATTTCTCTTTTTGTTTTCTTTTTGGTTTAGGTGGGGGTGGGGGTGCAGAGACAGGGAAGCTTAGTTTTGATATGTTAAATTTGCATGTCCAGTGCATATGGAAGTGCCAATGTGGTGAAGGTAGTTGGGTTGTTTGAGTTTGAATTCAGGAAGGGAGTCTGTTTTCAAGTTACAAATGAGAAAATTATCAATACATAGATGTTACTTAAGGCCATGAGACTGGATGAGACCCCTAAAGAATATATTATGGACTGAGAAAAGAAGAGAGCTCAGGCATGAGTCCTGGGGCACTCTAATGTTAAGAGCTTGAAGAGAGAAGTGGAAAACAGAAAAAGGATTGAGAAGGTGTGACCAGTGAGGTAGAAAGAAAACTGAAGTGGGGTCCTGGAAGCTGAGTGGAGGAAGCAGGAAAGGCATGTGTCAAATGCTCCTGATCAGTCACTGATACTTAAGGACTAAAGCAGAAGTTCCCAGTTTTTCTTGGTTTCTATCGCCCTGACTGGCTCGGTAGTGTTTTTTACCGGTCTCCTAGGCCATAAGAAATACATAACAATTTTGTTTATTGTGGCCTTGCCCCAAACATTTCATAAGCGTTTTTGTCCTATCAACTTAGTAGCCATTTGGAAACCTAAAACATGCAGATTTAAAGGAAAAAAAATGAATACTTAATTTCATTCTAAAATAACTTATTACTTTCCAATGAGATGTGTGTACCTGTTGGATATGAACAACTTCTAACCTTGGAACCTCTTTGGGAATTGCCAAGTTCGTTTCCTGTTCCACACTGGCTTTTGTACAGACCTTAACTTTTTATTACACACAGCAAACACCAGAAGCTCAGATCTGCAACAGTATGATACCATTGAAAGGAGTGCCGTGCAATCTAACACTAATTGTGAGCTAACTCAAGTTGGTAGTTTGTGCAGAATTTGACAGATATGTTTTCTTTGAAATTTTAAAATATCCCGAGGGTCCAGTGAGTTTGCTGGCTGTTTAGGGAGCCTTGGAACCTAGAAGGAGAACTGAGATGCTGAGAATCGACCACTGGGTTTTGCAGCCTGATTCATAGATAGGTAGACCATATATTTTACCCTCCAAATAGGGATAACACATGTGAAAAGGAAGGGGGGAACTAGCATTAGCAAGAGTGACATCTGGAATAACTCAGATTGTTGGGAAAACTGGGAACTGTTGGCTACCTTGTAACTTAGGTGGAAAGGTGGGGGCGAGAACCTGACTTAAGCGGCTTTAAGAATGAATGAGAAAAGAGATGTTGAAGGCAGTGAGTATGGAAGCAAACTGAGAGTTGAGAACACGGCCTGGTATTTATGGAGCTGATGGAGGAAGAGAGAGGAAAATGATAGGAGAGAAGGAAGAGGCGAACAAAGGAGAGAAAAATTGAAAGGCAGCCATGTTTAATGGCATCAAATGCAAAAGGTAAACAAGATAAAACAATTGAAATGTATGCAGAGTATTTGCAAGAAAGACAAGAACAGTCGTTGTGGACCCACGGGGATTATTGTGCTAACATTTAGTTGGCTGAGGCATGTAGAAAAGAAATAGAGGCAGCTCGTTCCTTGTGAAAGAGATGAGGGGGGCAAATGCTGGAAAAGATTGCATGTAAGCAGGCTGAATTATTTGAAAACGTCTCTCAGACTTGATAATCACGAGAATCACCTCACATTTTTTTCTTAAGCATTTGGTGTAATGTGATTGGTCATCTTTGTAACTGCTTTGTAACTTTTGTAAGCA